GATCTCTCTCTCTCTCCCTCTCCCTTCCTCTCTGAAATCAATAAAAACATATTTTTTATAAAATCACCTGCCCCATTCTCCATAAGGGAATTCTGCGTTAGCCTGTCTCTTCTCCTGACCTGGGTTTTACAGTTGCACTTTTGGTAAGAACGTCAGAAAAGAAGCATCACCTAGTTCCTCTAGAGCAGTGGTCCTCAGCCTTCCTAACGCCGCGACCCTTTAATACAGTTCCTCCTGTTGTGGTGACCCCCAACCATAAAATTATTTTCGTTGCTACTTCATAACTGTCATTTTGCTACTGTTATGAATCATAATGTAAATATCTGATATGCAGGATGTATTTTCATTGTTACAAATTGAACATAATTAAAGCATAGTGATTAATCACAAAAACAATATGTAATTATATATGTGTTTTCCGATGGTCTTAGGCGACCCCTGTGAAAGGGTCGTTCGACCCCCAAAGGGGTCGTGACCCACAGGTTGAGAACCGCTGCTCTAGAAGACGTGGTATCTGGGAAAAGATTCCAACTATTTCTCAACAGAGTACTAACTTATCTCCACGTCTGGCCTTGACCCAGGTCTGCAGGAGTATGCATTCTGTCCCAGTCACGACGCAAGTCTGAGACTAGCCTGTTGCAAAGGGACAGGCATCGACAGCCATACGTGAGAGGCCCTGGGGGTAAACACAGGATGACCTGCTGCCAGGTGAGTGCAGGGGCTGGAGGATGGTGTCACTTGAGTCATCATTGCTAAACGAAGGCCTAGGGGAGCCCTACATCCTGTTGGTCTTTCCTTATTGCACATGTCAGGGTGGATCTGAAGCTGAGTCTTCAGGCCCTCAACGGGGGGCTGTTGTCCCTTTAGTCCACTCCAAAGCACCATCTGGGGTGCTCTCAGGTGACAGAAAGATGAGCGAGTTGGATGGACAGAGAAGGGGAGAAGAGGGATGCGGGAGGGGAATGGAGGCGGGCTCACCGTTCACGTTGAGAGTGTAGTAAGTCTTGTAGCTGCCCAGGTTGCTGATGGCTGTGCAGCCGTAGGTGCCGCTGTCACTCTTGTTGAGGAAAGGGAAGATCAGGGCACTCTCTTGGGTCATCTTCAGGGGTGGCACGCTGCCCTCCTTCTCCCACAGGTACTTCTGGGGGCTGTTGAGAGTTCAGAAGAGAATAGGTCAGGGAGTTAAAGGGAAACAGAAATAATGGAGCAGGGAAGTCAGGGGCTATTGGATGAAAGCTCTAGTGGTTATAGGGGCCAGAGACACTGAGCTGCTCAGAGGCAGGGGGAGGGTGACCTCTTGGGGTTCCTTATAGGAACCAGGGAGTGGCCCCTCCCCACTTCTGCTGCTTTGCAGTGGAAACAGAGGATGGCTGTTAGTGTCAGGGACAATGAGAGGCTCGGACAGTACAGAGGCGGTGGGAAGACGTTATGTGAAGATCTCCATCTGAGAGTATGGAGTTGTACTGGCGGCCAGGAGACAACTCCTCTTACACGGGATTGCCACGCCCCTCGCAGTGCAGCGTCTTGATCTCCAAAGCATCCTGTCACACACCACAGCTTCCACCCCTGATGCCTCGGGAGGCCACGCGGCCGTGAACCGAGGCTTGGCTCCCCCTGCGTCTTGTGAGCCAAGAGCGCGATTGCCATTGAATGTGGGAGGGTCTGGTGCTGCCGCCTGGTAGAGGTAGGGTTCTGGGGGGTCTGTCCTTGGTGAGGACCCAAGACGTGTCTGACAGAGAGCTGAGGAGGCATGCCACCCGTGCATCTGTGCCTCACACACTGCCCAGCGCATCAGTGGAACTTAATGCATAGCTGTGACAGAATAAATACACTTGAACTTGACTATTGAGCTCACAACCTCTCAATCCTCTCTGTTCTGTAGGGGAACTTAAAGCAGTGGAAGAAAATAAAACATAATTTTTAACGGTCCGTCCAAACATGAAGTGAGAGCTTTGAAGCAGCAAGAGATGGGGGGGCATATTTTGGCTGCAAAAAGGGACTGACACAATATAGACGGGCTCTGCAAAGGAATGGTGGCATCTGCCACTGATGCCAAAGGGCTGCTGAGGAGGCTCGGTCCAGATGGCTGCGGAGAACAGTCCAACCAGACGCTGGCTTAGAAGGACAGGTAAAGAGGAGGAGCTGCCCCTAAGACAGAACCCAACCTAACCGGTTAATGAATCCGTTTCAGTCAAATCAAACAGGACAAAGAGAAGCAGGCCCCGCAGAAACCTCCAGCATCGTGCCTGGAGTATAGCATGTGTCCACTGACCGCTGATCACAGGTGGGCCACAAAGCTCCCTGGAGAGTCCTTGCCAGATGGCCCGTACCTAGCAGAAGTCTTTGGGACTCCGACAGGGGAGAGCTTCCTTAGGCCTGGCCTGGGCCCAGGCTCAGAGGAAGAAGCCCAATGCCAGAACGACCAATCAGAGAAACAAATTACAGCAACATAGAACTCAAGTTTACAAAGCATTTCTTTAGATATTATTTCATTTATCCTCAAGAAAGTTCAGTGGCGTAAGCAGGAGCCACTAAGAGACGACATGCTTTGGTGAAAATAACACAGAAGTAGAGGCACCCCAGCCAGAATCCGGGTCGTCAGCTTCCAAATTGAGAGTCTGCTAAACGGGAAGTGATGCGACCCCAGACCTACCTCATGTTCAAGTTTCAGCAACAAGTTTAGCAATTGACTTAAATAGCCTTCAAGTCAGGCCTGTATCTCCCACAAGAAAGAGATTAAGGGTTTTAATTATTTTGGAAAAACACCCAGCCTTTAGATGAATTAGGGAAAAAAAATACATTATTTTACAACTCTTCATCTTCCAGCTTTGGACTTTATTTTCCTTCCCCCTTGGTTCCTCCACTTGGAAAAGCTCTTTTTGAAAATGTCCAAATTTCCTCAAGTGAGGAGGGAAGTTCACTGTCCATCCTCAAGGCAGAGTCCATGGAGGGAGGAGGGTCCTGGGAAGGGTTAAGAGTAGTGACGGTGATCGTGGACATGTTGGGTCAGAATCCCAGGAAAAATCAAAAAGCTGTGGTAGAAAGAGGAGGACGTAGGAAAAGACCTGGGAAGAATGATGCCGGAGAGATTGTGTCTCCTACCGCCTGCATTTTCTTGAAACAATCAAAAGCTAGATCAAGAAGAAGCCTCAGTAATCCCCATGTTCATCTTCTCATTTAGCAAGTCAAGAACTGAGCTCAGGGAGGTGAAGCAATTTTCTTAGCATCACGTGGCTCATAAGTAGCAGAGGGCAGACTAGAACGCGCGTCTTCTGATTCCTGATTTGCTATAGTTACCACGACAGCTTACAAGCTGGTTGCATCATACTGGCCTACTCCAGGGCTTGGCAAGCTTACCCATTGGGTCCGATCCTGCCAGCTACATGGTTTTGTAAATAAAACGTTGTTGGAACACAGCTATGCTTGTTTGTTTGTTTACATATTATCTTTGCTACCTTCCTGCAAAAACAGCAGAGTAGTTGAGAGAGAGACCATATGACCCCCCAAAGCCTAAAATGTTTGCTGCTGGGGCCTTTCCAGAACTAGTTTGCTAACCCTTGGCCTATCCTACCACCTCTTGTCTCATTTGGTTTTTACCTACTCAGTTATCTGTGCCTATTTCTTCACGTACAGCCACCACCACTTTCCTTTTCCCCACACCCCATCTCATACCTGATTCGTCTTCACCCATAAGCCCATGACATACATAAAACTTCAATGCGTTGAGAGGTGGATCTGTCAGCTCCGTTTAGAGATTCATGGTTCACAGAGCATGTGATGTCGGCCCCGTCATCTTCCCGAGTCACCTGGAACGTCACTGAGCTGCTCACGGTGAAGGTTTTACCATTGGAGTCCTCCTGTATTCGGGTTGGTTCTCCTAGAGTAGAGAAACAGATACACACACACACACACACACACACACACACACGGAAACAGAGTGAGCCCTAACACACAGATAGTGTGTGGGCCCCACTGTAGACATACAGATGGTGAGTTTCAACTTTGACAAACTTAGAAAGTTGTGAAATGGATATGTACACACATACACCCATGAGTGTACACAGAATATCTGTCATTCCTGCTTTTTCCTTTTGCATCATGCTTTGTGTGCACACAGACATACAGACACGCACCCCTCCCTCTCTCATTCTCTCTGCCTCCCAGCACACCTTCTCCTGTAACCCCGAGGCAGGAGGGACTTACCATGAAGCTCTTGCTCACCCTTCCGCCAGGTGAGCTGAGCTGCGGGTTTGCTCCCAGAAGACTGGCAGTGTAGGGTGGTTGTATCCCTTTCCTGTAACGATGACTTGTAGCCAGTGATTATGGGCTTCTGTGGGATTCCTACCAGGCACAGGGGATGGGCAGGAGGTGAAGGAGAGGCCGTGAGGTTATACTTGGCTCTCCCTGCTGAGATGGCCTCTCTGGGGGAGAGGATACCTCGGTCCTACTGTGGTTTATGATGGGTAGAAAACTAGTTATCTTTCTCTTTGATCTCCTACCTAAGGACCAGGAAGAAAGATCTGGGCGGGGAGGGGGGGACGGGGGAAGGAGGCATGGTAGTGTGGAGATACACCACACCTGAGACATGATATGTGACCTGACAACCCAGAGGACAACGGGGTGGCCACAGAAGTAGTATGAAGCTCCGGGAAACAAAGAAGGGAATTGAAATATAGGATAAAATATAGGATGAGAGCATGTGAGCAACTGTGGTATTCAACCTGGACATTATAATCATACACTGCATGCGCCTCCCATGTTTCCCTCACATAGTCTTGGGAGGCAGGTGGAACAGACATCATCATCCTTCTGTTACAGGTTAGGAAGTTCAGGCTCAGAGAGAGTAAGAGGTTTGTCCCAGAGCAAACGGTAAGTAGAGGAGAAATTATTAGAAGTCAGTGCTCTTTCCATTTTGTTCCATTGCAAAGGGAACGTGGGCTGAACTTTACCAAAAGGCTCGGAGCCTTGCCTGGCTCTAGACTCCTTTGGGGACCCACCTAGAGAGGTTTGTTCGCACAGAGCATGCGGCAGTGACCCTGGGGTTGGGGAGCCTCACCCAGCACAGTGATGAGGGACTTGGCAGTTCTCACGGGCATCGTGAAGATGGAGCAGGTGTACTCGCCCTCGTCCGCCAGGGCCACGTTGCTGATGCTGATGCTGAGCTCATGGGGTGTGGATTTCACCAGCTGAATCCGATTATCTCGAAGGGCTAGCGGGGAATTGGGAGAGTGGGAAGCAAGGCTTTTACTGGCACCGTCCATGTTTATCTCCCATCCCAGGCCAGCGTTTTGGGGGGAAGGGGTATAGTGCGATTTGGGGCAGGGGGAAAATCCTGCTCCCGCGTTTCAACCGTCTTTAGGTCATTTTCCTGGGCCACTGGCCACAGTAGCCTCAGATAGACTCAGAAAAGGATGTTGGATCTCGAGGGCTTCCAGGTGAGACTCACAGGTCAACACTTAGATTAGGCTGTCTCTTCCTGCTCCTTTGGGGTAAAGTCCACCCAGGTCCCCTTAAGACCATGAATGGCCCAGGTCAGAGCTGTAATAACGAAGTTTCTCTGAAACCAGCCGGGGAGCCCATGGCTTGTTGTTTCTTCAAATAGCCATACCTTCACCTGTCTCAGCCTCTGGGCTATAGGGACCTTCCCCTCGGGGCTGCAATCCCCTTCCCCAGCCCACGGTCCCCACAGAGAGAGACAGCTCTACCTCTCTTCTCCCCAAAGTAAAGAGTCTGCTGAGCAGGGTTAGACCACTGCAGGGATGAGTCCTCATGGTCTTTCACTTGACACTTGAGCACCACGGTGCCACCAGCCACCACTGTCTCATCGGATGTCCAGGGCTGACTGTCTGCAGGAGTAGAAGAGGGTTAGTTTCCGGAGCAAGCCCTACTCCCTCCACCCATTTCTGGGCCAAAGTCTCATTCAGACCAGCCAAGGCCCAGGTCTCTGTGTCTCTTAAGGCATCAAGGAGGAAGGAACAGGGGGAAGGAACAGAGGTGGTGGTGGGGGGACCTTATTTCCTCGTTTGGAATGCACAGGAAAACAGTTACTTGTTGAATGTTTGCTTAATAAACTGACATGGCCACACACACTTGGAGTAAAAGCCCTCCAAATCTACCCATGCCACTCCACATGCGTCTTTCCTGATAGAGGTCTACCATTCACCTTTGAAAAGTCTATACATTCACATATGTACAGTGGGGCCTTGACTTACGAGTGTCCCGACTAACGAGTTTTTTGAGATACAGCAGTCTCTCGGCCGATTTTTTGCTTTGAGTTGCGAGCTAAAATTCGGGTTATGAGCCAGCTTCAGATACCCCACAGCTAGTTGGCGCAGCGAACGTCACAGTGAACGCCACAACATCAGCCCAGCATCACGTGTCTCACTCATTCACAATTGATTTGACATACGAGTAATTTGAGTTACAAGCTCCGTCACGGAACAAATTAAACTCGTAAGTCAAGGCCCCACTGTATCTGTCATTCACTCATTCCAATTGATTTGACATACGAGTAATTTGAGTTACAAGCTCCGTCACGGAACAAATTAAACTCGTAAGTCAAGGCCCCACTGTATCTGTCATCCTATGTTTCGCCTTCCTGCCACCACCTGCCTATAGAAGCAAGAACAGGAGAAGCAGTTGTGACTAATAATCCCCAAACTAAAAGCGAACACGTTCACTTAGATAAGCGGTAGCTGATACAACTTCAAACCAAACAAACACAACAGCTTTAAAAAACGGAAACATTTGACACCGACTTTTCAGTTCCTCCAACAATAGCTGCCCTTCATTCATCAGCTCCCTTAACATATTTCTTCAGTGTTGGTGCTACCCGCTTCCCAACATACAAACCCATCACCATCCCGGTGTTAGAGGACTAGTTTTCCCTTCGATGTGATGGAAAGATGTTTTCTAATTCCTCTCTCCTTAGTCATGTTAAACAAACAAACAAAAAAGGACTAATCAGATATCATATGGATGGGCCATTGGAATCCCAAATATGTCTTCTAGTCAGGCGTCAACTGTGAGCCCCTTGGGCTGCATGACCCTTGCTCCTCCTCCCAGTAGCATTGCTCCATTCTCCCCACAGCATTGCCTCTGATTCCCATGACTGATTCCCTCCTCTTCAGGACTGACTCTGTGACCCAATAGCACTGACCTTCACAGAACTAAAATAAACACCTCCCAGCTGATTCGGAAACATCTACAGTATTTCTTCTATGGTGCGACATGACTTAACCAGCATGACTCTCCTCTGAATAGGAAGCCAAGAAATACAATTCCTAGGTTTCCTAATGGAGTAACTCAGACAATCCCTATGCTCCCTCTGGCACCGACCATACCCCTTCCCTGTCTGCTATTCCTTTCTTCCTTGGTCACCACAGCTCCAGCTCCAACTACCGTGAGTGCTCCCTCCAGCTCCAACTACCGTGAGTGCTCCCGGTAGAGAAGGTGCATGTGCTGAAGTTGCTCTCGGGGCTTCGGGATAGCTGTCTCCACACTGAAGCACAGAGCCTGGCCACTAGTTTCAGGGGTTAGAATCTGAATTAGAACGGAAAGGGATCTTAGGGATCATGGAATCCAATTCCCTCATTTTTCGTGTAGACAATGAGACAATGGAGGTGCCGTGAGGGCCTAAGCTCATTCTACTTATCAATGATTCCAGTTAGGACTAGAACTTCATTCTTCTGACACTCAATGCAGTTGCTTATGTCATTGGAATGCCCCTCAAGTAATCATCTAATTAGAATTAAAACTATGACTATGAGATTAATGACCCGTAGATGGAGCTGGCTGGGTAAATTTGGGAGTGGTATATTCCTTAACTATCTCAATGAAAGATTTGGGAAGCCTTTCATTTACTGCTAGCTATATATCAATTTTTGACTAGCAATTCCATTGTCCCTGGTTCCTTATGAAAATTTCTACGCTGACTATATCTTCCAGACCTCTTTATTCTGAGCAATACACTCCTCCTGAAATCATTCCACTTTTTAGAAAAAAAGTGTAGGGGACACAGAGGTCTCTGTACTAAAGGAAGAAGGAGCAGGTGCTACAGATGTTGGTGTAGAACTAAGAACTACAATGTCAGATGGAAAGTAGAGGAGAACACGGGGTGAAGGCCACATGAGTGGGAGGTGATATGAGGATGGCTGCGGGCACCGAGAGACACTGAGATGAGGAGGCCTGGATTCTCACCTTGACTGACCAGCATGTCAGGAGTGCTCCAGAGTGTGGAGCTGATGGCCTCGTCGAGTGGAGCCAGAGTTCCCAGCTCCAAATCCTGCTCCTGCCAGTAGCCTGGGGAGAGAATCTCCATCAAGGATGAGCCCTGCATATGCGCTGCTGTAGTGTGGGATCTATACTTTCATTGTTGGAGGTGGGGGAGAGCCAGGCCCCTGTGAAAAGGAGGTCCACCAAATTGCCCAAGAAAAGGCGGGTTTCTCACAAAAAGGCGACTAACTAAAGTACTGGAAAAGGAAGCAACTCTTCCTCCCACGGGTGAGCTAAAGGAGGATGCTAAGTGTTACCAGTCAATCAGATCATGTTAGCGCCAAAAGAGCTCCTAGAGGCCACTGGTCCAGTTCTCCCACTTGGCAGCGTGTAAAGGTTAAATGTGACATGGTGGAGGTCACTACGGCGACAATTAAAGGTAACCCAAGACTTCTCATTCCTCATCCAGGATTCTCTCTGCTTCACTCTATTATCTACCGAAATAATGAGAGGTTTAATAATTAGAAAATACTTTCACATTAATCCTTTTAAAAGGCCTGTGAAAGCAGCCCTCCGGCATGACTACTACTACTTGCAGAGTGGAAACAGAATGAAGTGACTTGCCCAAGGTCATATAAATAGAAAACAAAGACCAGAAATTGAATGCCCGATCCAAATCCAAAGTTCCATTTGTTTCCATTAAGACCCTACCTCTACAGACAGACAGACACCACAGTGAGGGCAGAAGGTGCCCACCACCTTCCCAGAGGCTCACCTTCCTACTGGGGGCTCAAATTCTCAAGTTGGCCTCCTTCATCCTCAGTCCAATTGCCCACTTACATCACTGACTCTGCTCACTCCTCAGGCACAACAAATCCCTCTCTTCCTAGCAAGCAGCCCATAAACCATTCTGTGACTACATTGTGTCAAAGGCCTATTCCCCCCCAAGCCAACCTGAAGGGGCAGAGGGACAAAGAAACAAGGGGATCTTTTCAGTCTCCCGCCATAAGCCCAGAAGTAGCCAATCACGCGCGCAAGATTCAGTGAGGTCATCGGCTGCTGAGCAGAGTTCTGAGCTGCTGCTTGTCCAGACCCGGAGTTCCGGCACAACTTCAGTTGGGGCAGCCTGCTCCTTAGAGACCCTGGGGAGGGTGGGTGGGAGAGGAAAGGGTGAGAGGAATAGAAGGGGGAGCTGGGACCTAGGAGATGCGTAGGGGAGGTGTGGGGAGGGGCAGAATGGCAGGGGTGTGAGACTAAAAAGAGAAGTGGCACAGGGGCTTAGGGTCCTTGGAGAAGAAAGGGGAGAGAGAACTGATGAATCAGAAGGGAAGGTGGGGGGAAGGGAAAGGAGATGGGGAGAGAGGGGAGGAAGATGGAGTTAAAGAGATTTTTGGCGTTTGGAGGGGGGCTCTAAGAGATAGTTTCAGGGGTTCGCAGGCCTTCATGGAGGCACCCCCTCTCCAGAGTCCCTCATAGACATGCTCTCGGAGATTTAGAAATTACTCTGTTCTCAAACAGAAGTGTTAATGCGCAAATGAGAGGGGGAGTAAAGCAGAGAAGACAGAAAATCTGTTACAGGTAGAGAGAAGCAGGCAGAAAGGGGACAGGGCACGTGTGGATGGAGAAAGGCAGCGAAGATGAGGACCAGAGAAAGAAAGGCGGCCTGGAGAGGGAGGACCAAGGCTCTCCCACCCAGCAGGGACCCTCCCTGGGTGCCCGGACCTCACCCTGCTGCCTTCTGTGGACATCAAGGATGGAGGCAGCCTGAAGTTGGTGAGTGTTTCGTCTTATTTTTCAGGGGTTTGTGTGTTTGTGGGTGTGCTGCTTCAACACACAGCAGGAAGCCAAATGGTGGTGCTAAAACTTGGGGTGGTGGAGGGAAAGGAGGCTCCAGGGAGGGTCAGTGCTCAGCCCACAGCATTAGAACCAAGTGCACAGAATAAGCACTGAGTAGGCCTTTGCTCAAATGAACAGAGGAAATAGCCCGGCGTAGGGCTTGCAGTTTGCAGAGTGGATTTCCAACCATGAATTCACTGAATGTCAAAACAACCTTGAAAGATAAGCAACTAGACATAATCGCTTTTTAGAGACGAGGTTTAAAGAGGTTCAGGGACTCACCTAAAAGCGTACACATAACAACTCTCAAGGACCCTCCTCCTCTCTCCGCTGGTGCTCTCAAAGCTTCTCAACAGCTCCTTTTCCTTATAGCATTTCGGCCATTGTATCGCAATTTACTTGTTTAATTCTCCGTCTTCTCATTTAAGCCTCGAGTTGCTGGAGAGCAGGGGGCTTACCTTATTCATGTCTGTATCTTTGAAATTTAGCTCATAGTGGGCTCTAGTATATTTAATTGATCTGGTCATGCATTCTGTCGCAGTTGGCACTGTGCTATGCCTATTCCTAATCAGGCAGAGTGAGTATTCTGCCCCACAGCATGGATTTAGTCCTTACTCTCCTGCTCCTTTTTTCCCCTGCATTCTCACTTCTGTTCTCCTTGCTTCCCTTCTTCTCTCCTCCTGCATTTTGCTGGCTTTATTTATTTATTTATTTATTTTTGCATAGGATGAATAAATGAAATGGTGATTGGGTCATTCAAACTTAACTAAATTGTTCAGGTGATGGGACTGATAATTAAACAAATGATCTCCAATAAATGGCATATTTGTAATATGCTTGATGTATTGTCCCTGTATGCGAAAAGGGAACTCTGGTTTGTAGTGTTTTAAAGAAACTGCTTAAGAGGTAGACGTTTTATTTCCGCGCCTGGGGTGACAATTCTTCCTCTAATTTTGCGAAATACTTAAGTTTTCTTTCTCTTTGTGTAAAATTGTACACCTGTAATGATAACATTATGAATGGCCACTCCGTGGGAGCAGATGAGTAATTATGATTCTATCAACAGGATAAGTAGAAGAAATTATTTCCTGGGTTGTGAAAGGCTAGTGCCTCCTTTGAATTTAGATCGTGCCAATTATTTACGACATCAACACAAGTCCATCCAGAGAGTCAGACTGGAAAGGAAAACTTGAGAGGATTCTGAAAGGGCCATGTGGACTTTGAAGTGGAAACAGTGAACATTCTTCTCAGGCAGGGGCTTTGGAAGGAATGAAGAGACTGAAATGACAGGACCCTCTCGTAGAAAAATAGGTGGTCATATTGATCATATCGTGTCCCTGCTCAGGACCCTTCACTAACTTCACTTACTTCCCATTGTCCACAGATCACATCCAGATTTGTTAGCCTCGCCTTTAAGATCCTGTACAGGCTGAGGCCAAGGTGCCTCTCAGCTGTGTATTTCCTTTGCTTCACTCACCCATATCCCAGACATATGACTATTTGGAATCCTTTTTGTAACCACTTTGCTTTCTCGCATACACCCCCATTCCCACAATAACTGTTGATAATGTCCTTCACCCGACTTCACACATCTAAGCACTATTCATCCTTGAGGCCTATTTTCTGTGGCATCACTTTCAAAACGTCTCCCCTGATTGTCCCCGGTGAAAATAATTTCTCATTTCTCTGAGTTACAACACTTTATCTGCCTTCCTTAAATTATGCATCACTCTACTTTGTACTGCATGTTTGGGTTCCCTCCAATATTATACAGCTCATGCAGGTAGGGTTGATATCTGATTCATTTTTGCATCCAGTACTGGACCTAATACAGCATGTTACACATAGAGGGGGCTTGAAAATATGTGTTTAATAAATGAAACAGAGAGGCTGAGTGCGCATTTTCTCCTGTGAGAACTAGGCTCAACATCTGCCAGAGAAGAGGCAATAGCAAACACAACAGGATAAACACAAATAGGCCATCCAGGAGGGTCGCCTATCCAGAGGTGACGTTCTGGAAGTGGACAAGGTGATGGGGATCAATATTCATTGGTCACCCTCTGTGTCTCAAGATCCAGGTTACTTGTTCTATATTCATTACTCCAGGATGACCCATTTAGTTGGTATTCTACACGTTAAGGATGAGTTAACTAGGACTCAGAGACTAACTAAGGCTAAGAGAAGCTACGTAACTCATCCAGATGATGGATTCAAAAGTGTTGAGATGGGACAGGCTTTAAACTTAGATCTCTCTGACCACAAAGCCCTGGCTTTCTGCACATCTACATGATACTGCCTTCCTTCACAGAGCACGCCTTTGTATCTGTGGTTGTGGGGCAAGGGTTACAGGGGGAAGATGGTTGGCCAAGGGTGGCTCGCCCAAACAGTACTCACACCCTCACCTGAAATGTGGTTAAAAAAACAACAGGGTAGCAAGTTGGAAATGAGTGCTTGTGGTAATGGTGGTACCATCTGTACCCACTGGTTGTATTTTTTATTGGATTTCTTAATATATCTTCATCTATACTTTGGGGGCTATTTCGTGCACCCTTAAGAGCCTTACAATGTGGGACTCCTCAGCTATCAAAGCTACGGATGTGTCCAGTTAAAACTATGGTCCCATGTTTTCATAGCACTCTAACACCTATGCTAAAAACTAACATTATCTTCCTGTTGGCCCTCAGTTGCCTTGGAGGTTCTGAATTCTTGGTTTATTTTCCCATGGGTTCAAGTATCTTTAGGATTCCCACCATTTTAAAGGACAGCATGGCCCTGATTGATTGTTCACATTAGGAGGAGCAGAAGTAGAATTGGAAACTTACTAATATGCCTCCTTAAAGCATACACTGGTCCCTGTGGTTGAGGTTTTCACCTTGCACGTAGTAAGTGCTCAATAAATGTTTATTGAATAAGTAAATAAGTGACTCCAATAACTAAAAATGTATTATCTCTCCGATTTAGATGATGCTAGTAGCGAAGGCTCTGTGCCAGTATAATCCCTGATTGCTTGGGTTTTATATCTTCCTTGCCCTGTCTGTTTTGGGAATCTAAGGTCCATTGGCCTGAGGGTCAGTGTGCACAGGTGCACATTTAGGATGGTGGGACAAGGGGGCAGGGCTCTCCCACATAACTGTTGTTGCCCTTGATGGTGCTTGGGTCCAGACCCCCACTTCACAGACCAGAGAAAATCAGCTCCCTGAGTAAGAGTTGATGATGGTGATGGTGATGATGAGTCAGCATTTCTCTAACCGCAGAGTTAAAAATAATCTTCATCTCAGCCTACTT